GAAAAAAAAAAAAAAAAAAAAAATATATATATAACCAGAATCATAATTTGGTGCCACCTGTCCTTTTAAAAAGATTACAAACAGAAAAATTATTTTAAGCTGGGCTCAGTGGCTCAGCCTGTAATCCCGCGCCTTGGGAGGCTGAGGTGAGTGGATTGCCTGAGCCTGCGGGTTCGAGACCCGCCTGGGCAACTTGGTGAGACCTCTTCTCTACCATAAATAAAAAAATCAGCCGGGCGTGGTAGCGCATGCCTGTAATTCCGGCTACTTGCAAGGGTGAGGTGGAAGGATCGCTGGAGCCCAGCAGGTCAAGGCTGCGGTGACCGGGAGCAGCCACTGCACTCCAGTCTGGCTGACAGAGTGAGACTCCAATGCAAAAAAAAAGAAAAGAAAAACGATTTTATGTAAATACATATACACACACACACATACACTATATACCATGGTCTTCAATAGGACCATAATATATTTTATACACCCACACACTAGATGGACTAAATAGCAAAGTAAAGAATTCTGAGGTTATTTGCTGGGTGTGGTGGCTCAGCTCACACCTGTAATCCCAGCACTTTGGGAGGCAAAGGCTGGAGGATTGCTTGAGCCCAGGAGTTTGAGACCAACCTTGGCAGCATAGCAACACTCTGTCTCTACAATAAAATCTTTAAAAAAATTAGCCAGGCATGGTGGCTCACACCTGTATTCGCAGCTACACGTGAGACTGAGGCAAAAGTACCTCCTGATCCCAGGAAGACCAGGGCACAGTGAGCAGTGATCGCACTGTAGCCTGAGCAACAGAATGAGACCCCGGCTCAACAGAAAAGCATTCTGAGGTTGAAACCAGTCATTGGAGTACTCTAGTTTGGGTTTATTCGGCAAGCATCAGGGTATGCTGACAAGATGAATATCTTCATTCACTCATCCATTACTGATTGAGTCCCCGTTTTGTGCTCAGGGTACTGTGAGGGGAAGAAAGCCCCCGCCCCTGGAGAGCTTATGTCCCCCTGGGGCAGAAGTCTGCGACCCAGTCGAACAGCGGGCCTGTCGTGCCCTGGTCTTTGTCATCATGTCGGTGTCTCTAGCTGCCCAGCATTGCTGTCCCCATCTACGTCCCCTCCCACGTAGTCCGGGCCGCTGCCCAGGGCCCCATGCCATGAGCCCTCTCTCCCTTCTGAACCTGTGGCAGTGTGGGAGGAGGAGGGAGGGGTAGGGGTTTCCGTCATCTGGCACCGCCTAGGGTGGCTGAGAGGTGCCAGGGCCACTGAAGGGGTGAAAGGACACACAGAGGCCCCGTCCTTGGGATCCCTCTCAGGGCTCTGACCGTCTCTAGCCCAGGCTTGCGTCCCCACCCATCCGGCTCAAGCCGAGATGCCAGTGTGTCCTTTTCGTTACCAGCTCCGCCCGGGGTGTCATTTCAGCCACTGAACTGGCATTCGGTTCTCCGTTGTCTTGCAGCAGAGCCCATGCCTGGCCTCGAGGAGAAACCAGCCGCCGTTAGTGCTTCAGAGGGGGTATACCTCAAGCAGCTACCTCACCCCACACCCCCTCTGCAGACCGACTGCACCAGGCAGGGCTCCCCCCGAGACAGGGAAGCCGCAGGCCCGGACCTCAAGAGCGAGTCCGCAGACTCCACAGACCACTGCAAGGCGGCCAAGGGGAGGAGCGCCTGGGCCCTGGAGAGCGGCTACCCCAGCCCGGCCGCCCACGGGTGCCTGCGGGACCTCTCCATGGTGGCCGACAGGGGGGCCCTCCCCGAGAACGGAGTCATGGGCGAGGCGTCGCCTTGCGGATCCGAGGGCAAGGGCCTGGGTGGCGGTGGCTCTGAAAAGCCGCTCTGCCCCAGAGGGAAAGCCCTGCAGGAGGCCATGCCGTGTCCGGGACAGAATGCGGCTACGCCCCCCCACGCGGACCCCAGCCTGATGGGGGGGTCCGTGAGCCAGTTTTCCCCCTTGTACATGCCCGGCCTGGAGTACTCCAACTCAGCCCCGCATTACCACGTGGCGCCGGGCCTGCCAGGCTTGGGCCCAGTGATGGGCGCGAAAGCCTCAGTGCCCCATCCTCAGCATTTCCCTCCTCGCAGCTTCCCGGCCAACAGTCCCCACTCGGGGGTCTTCCCCCGGTACCGCCCTCCCCAGGGGGTGAGGTACTCGTACCACCCACCGCCTCAGCCTTCCTTCCACCACTACCCGCGAACTCCTTACTACGCGTGTCCACAGGGCTTTGCCGACTGGCAGAGACCTCTCCCCACCCAGGCAAGCCCGGGCGGCGCCCCGGCTGGCCAGCCTCCCCCGCCCAGGACCCTCTTCTCAGACAAGAATGCCATGGCCAGCCTGCAGGGCTGCGAGACACTGAATGCTGCCTTAACCCCCCCGACCCGCATGGATGCAGTGGCTGCTAAAGCTGTCCCCCCCGACGGGCAGAATCCGGGTCCAGAGGGAGAGAAGCCGGACGAATCCATGGAGAGGCCAGAGAGTCCCAAAGAGTTCCTAGACCTGGACAACCACAACGCGGCAGCCAAGCGGCAGAGCTCACTCTCCGCCAGCGAGTATCTCTACGGACCCCCGCCGCCACCTCTGAGTTCAGGAATGGGTTTCGCACCGTCCGCGTTCCCCCCCCACGGCATGATGCTGCAGCCAGGACCTCCGTACACGCCGCCGCGGCCGGCCGGGCACTTCCAGCCCCGGGCTTACTCTTCGCCGGGCGCTGCCCACCCGCCCTGCCATCCCGGGGCCACCCAGCCCAACGGCCTCTCGCCGGAGGGCCCCCTCTACCGCTGCCAGGAGGAGGGCCTGGGCCACTTTCAAGCTGTGATGATGGAACAAATCGGCAGTGGAAGTGGCATGCGGGGACCTTTCCAGGAAATGTACAGGCCGCCAGGGTAAGGTCGCACGCGCTCTCTGTTCCTCTGAAATAGTCACAGACGTTCGCTTTCAGCAGGAAGTTGGCTGTAGGGCTGAAGATCAGCTTCAGCATCCAGGGCCCAGGAAACATGTGAATTGTCCATGTTGGACACTTGGTGGAAGGGTATCGGGCTGATGGCCCCGTTTTATCTTTGACCCTTTTTTCTTCAGGAAAATGAGTTGGCATTTAAATGATGGTTGAAGTAAATTTTGATTGTGTAAACTTGATCCCCTCAACTTGAGAGCAGTAGGGCAGGCTGTCAGCAGTACTGCTGAGTACAGACACTCTGACCCGAGGGAAAATAGGACCAGAGTTCAAGTTTTATACTCTAGGCCTCTCATTACTTCCTCTGTCATTGATTGACAGCTAGGTTCATGCAGAACTGTAACAGGTCAAGTGCGATCCCCGAGAAACCTCTTCCGTACATCATTGCTAGTGATGCTTTAAGGCCCAGATAGGCGATCCTGGAAGTTTCCAAGTTAATGGTATATAAAAGTTGGTTAGGTGGAGTTATTTATATTAAAGTTATGAAGACTGGCCAGGCGCCGTGGCTCATGCCTATAATCCCAGCACTTTGGGAAGCCAAGGTGAGGGGATTACCTGAGCCCACGCATCTGAGACCAGCCTGGGCAACTTGGCGAGAGCTCATCTCTACAATAAATCAAAAAACTAGCCGGGCATGGTGGCGCGTGCCTATAAATTCCAGCTACTTGGAAGGCTGAGGTGGAAGGATCGCCTGATCCCAGTGGGTTGAGGCTGTGGTGGCCGTGAGCATGCTACCGAGTGAGACTCCAACTCAAAAAGTAAAATGAAATACATAATAAAGTGATGAAGAGTAAGGAGAAGAGCAGTGCCATTCCGTGGTCTTACTGCCAAACTTTCTTCCGTTTAACAATTTCCATATTTGCTTTTGCTTGCTTTTTTGAGTCTGAGACTCATTCATGTTCTCCTGTAGCCCAGGCTCAAAACCAGCATCACACCCAAAGCAAGTAACTGACCAGTATCAAATCTTATCTTTTTCCTATTGTCCCCAGAATGTCTTAGAGCTATGTTTCTTGTATTTCAGTTTTTTCTTTCTTTCTCATTTTTTTTTTTTTGAGTTGGAGTCACATTCTGTTGCCCAGGCTAGAGTGCCGTGGCACGCTCATGGCCACCACGGCCTCGACCTACTGGGTTCAGGTGATCCTTCCACCTCAGCCTTCGAGTAGCTGGAACAACAGCCATACACCACCACACCCGGCTCATTTTTTTGTTTTTTACTTTTTTATTTTTGAGCTGGAGTCTCATTCCGTCGCCCAGACTGGAGTGCAGTGGCCGCTCCCGGCCACCACAGCCTC